CTCATAACAACAAATGGAACAAAACTCTCTCTCTCTCTCTCTCTCTCTTGCTCTTAGTCTCATTGATTTGGCTACCTCAGGGCTGCATTTCCGGCGCCCACGCGGTGGACAATTGTCCTGGGCCAATAACGGACCTCGGTGGTGAACCACTTGAACGCCACAGAAGTTCCCCGCGAACTGCAGGATGTAGTGGAACGAGAACGATGTCTACCTTCTTCCTCCGAATACAACGTATGGTCATTATAGCTGTATTTGAGGCATCTTTCAGTCTAGATGCAGCTATAATAACCGTACGCTGTATTCGGGGGAGGAATGTTGGATTTTCTAATGACAATCATCAGGCTCAAAGGTGGGTGTAGGGCCAGCCTTGAGCTTTTTCTCAAGTCAAGGGTAGTGGAACAAGCCCCTTAGGGTGCGAATTCGGCTTTTCAGCGTTCGGCCCCCTGTTTTTTTCCGGGTACAGCCTGCTGTTTGTCCCCCTGGTAGTTTTCGTTTTGTCGGCTGTCGTGTTCCATCGTTCCGTCTCTCGCAGGCAGGCACCACTGCTCACTCACTGGCGTCAGGGGCCAAAGAGTTTGCGAGGGTGCCCGACCCAATTTCGCTGCCAACAGTGGCACCACAGGCTCGGCGGGAGAGACTGCCGGTAGTCAAGGGCATTTCAGGCTCAGACAAGAGGGAACCGCAATCGCAAGGCGGGAGAGACCTGTTCTATCTTGGAGATTGGCCGTGCCAAGACGGCCGCCGCCTCTTCCATCATCCCCACCTTTGTTTTTTCGTCGATCGACTCCTGTTCTGTCCAGTCGAAGAGAGGGGTGCGTGGCGCCTTCAACGTTTACTTCGGTTTGGTTAGACGCGCTCGTGCCGCGCAGCAGCGCTTCTGGCTGTACGCCGCAACTGCCCGGCGCTCTTCGACGACGCGACTTGTTCAGGTGCTGTCCTGTGTTGAACTGTTGCTGCCCGTGCGTCTTCTCGTCTGAGTTTGGAAACACAGGTATGCATAGCGGCTCCTGCCAAGGCGTTGCGGCCGAAATCATGGAATCGGATTTCCAAGGGAATTGAGTGCTATGCGTGTGCCCCTTTCTCTTTGCCTTTCATCGCTGGCCTGTGTCGTCGTGAATTGTTACCTAACGGCGCCTCTTTGCCAACGGAGCTGGTGGGGTTGCAGCGCGAGTAGTGTGTACGGACAGCGTGGAAAGCCCAAGAAGCGGAGTTGAGCTGAGTGGAGCAGAGCGAAGTCCGGTCGAATTGTTGAATATAATACATTCAGTCACGACGGACTATGGTGACTGACGGCAACGGGCCGAAACCCTCGTCTCCGCCTTGCAAACTGAGGGCGCAGCAGCTGCAATTCGCGAGTTCTTAGCAGGCACGAAGCCGGCGCATTGTTGGCCGAAAGCATATTCCCGTCTTTCGCCGATGTGGGAGGCGATCCATCTATCTAGCCAGCATGTGGCTGCACCGTGTTAGCTTCGGCTGAAGCTGATTGGCCGTTGTCATTCTTTGGCCGACCCCTTCGTCTTTCTCCGTTGGCTCTCCCGATCCTCCTTGGTTGGTGGCCTGCCCCGCGCGATCGTCGGCGCGCGGAGAAGGGTCGGAAGGAGGGCGATCGTGCTTTGCGTGTCGTCCAGGACGAACATCTGAACGGCTTCGGCGTTCGCGAGGATCGGACGGCAACGAAAGCTTGCACAGGCCGGCGGTAAGGGTGATGTCAGGAAGGAATTATTACTTCGGAGGGTATGGCGGGATGGGAAGAGGGAGAGCTGTTGCAAGCTGGAGAATGGGAGCTGGAGGAGGTGGGGTGGGTGCCGCCGGGTATGGGAACGGGCTGCTTGGAGATCCGTATGGAATATACAGTCAGATGGTGCGAACCCCAGTAGGGTTGTACAATGCCGTTGGTAGAGGGCTTGGTATTTACAGGGGAGGAGTGCAGGCAAAGGGGGGATTACTGAGGGGTGGAGGGGGAATTGTGGGAAACCGACCAGGAGCGGGGTTTGGTGCTGGTGGTCGAGGGATTGTGGGAAGCCGGCCTGTCGGCGGAGCCGTTGGTCCGCGCGGTTCCGCAGCTGGCGGAGGAGGAAGTCGCGGGGGAGGGAGGAGGGCGCGGGCGAGAGCGCGGCAGCAGGCTGCTGCGGGAGCGGACGAGAGCACTGCGGCCAATCAACAACCAAAGCAGCAGCAGCAGCAACAGCAGCAAGCAGGGAAAAAGCAACAGCGGCAATCGCAGGGTAAGAATGAGGTGACCGGAGTAGGAGGCGGCGGGGGGGGGGGGAGAGGGAGAAGACTGGCTAATGCCAAAAAGAAGATAACGAAGGAAGACTTGGATGCAGACCTCGATGCATGGAGAATGAAAGACAAGAAGCTCGGGGCCGGGTCGTTGGATGCTGAGCTGGATGATTACTTCAAAGAACGCCAGACGAAGAAGAGGAAGACGGAGGAGGTAGAGACTACTGTGGCGGCGGCAAAAAAGGAGGATAATCATGGTGGTGACGCGGCATCGAATGGGCAGGAAGATGGTGACGGTAAGGCGGTGGAAGGGGCAGAGGAGGTACAGGAAGCGTTAGAGGTTGAGGAGGGAGATCAGGAGGAGGGTGATGAAGATGCGGAGGGAGAGGAGGTAGTTTATCAGGAGGAGGAGGACGACGACGATCAGGGGGAGGAAGGTGGTGAAGAAGATGGCGGAGTCGGAGAGGAAAATGAAGACCACTTGGTGGACGGAGAGGAGGAGGGAGGTGATGGAGTACAGGTGGAAGAACTGGACGGAGATGACGATGAAGCAGACGAAGGAGATAGTGCCCTTGGGGAGGAGGACTGAACACTGGAGCAGCACTTCCTAGCACTTCCAGCGGCATCACGGACGCGGCGGACGAAAAATCTTGGCGAACGTTCCGGCAGTCGAAAGGCATATCGGAGGTGGGGATCTCATCTACAATCTTATCTACCTCTATCGAAGTGTTCCATTCAGCGCTCCGAAACATGACTATTACTCATGCTGCTCCTACCATTGCTGCTGACGCGGCTGATATCATTATACGTGACGCGTTTGATTGGTGAGGATCGAATTATGTTCGACGTCGTCGAAGGTGGACTTGTGTATCTTGTAGGTGGAACGATTCAGATCGCCTCCTTTCTTCGGGAGGCCAAGTTTTTTGCTCCGGAGGTCTTGCGTTGGAAAAGCGGGTGCTCTTGAAACCGCACGCAATGGTCAATCTCTGTTTCAGGGTAACTGAGTCAAGTCAAGGAGGCGAAGGAAGTTGACACTCGATCATCACAGTGTATCGATGACTGTGCTGGTCGACGTCGTAAGCTCCGTCGCTATATTCGGAAAAGTAATCCGAGGATGATTGATTGATCGGACATAGTGTAATATGCTGCTGAGCAGACGCTGTCTCTTATACACATCTAGATGTGTATAAGAGACAGCTCGATCATCACAGTGTATCGATGACTGTGCTGGTCGACGTCGTAAGCTCCGTCGCTATATTCGGAAAAGTAATCCGAGGATGATTGATTGATCGGACATAGTGTAATATGCTGCTGAGCAGACGTGTGCACGTTTCACTTGCGCTGTTTTCGTCGTGTTGTTGCGCGTGTGTGCGTTCGTTCTGTGTGCGCTCGTGGAGACGGGGATCCGGGGGTGGGGGAGAGGGGCCGGGGGTTGTCTCCATTCCTATGGTTGTCGTCACGAATCTGCCTGGAACCTGGTGTTCCGGTTTGAAACTGTCACGTTGTAGTCCTGCAGTAGTATGTCCTTCCCGTCTCTCTGGCCTTACTGTCGTAGATGAGCGAGCCTAGCCTGAGATGATGACAACCGTGTGGATGCGTCCTTTTGGGCTGATGATGGGACAGCGTGTAGAATCGGTTCTTTCGAGAAAGGATGTATGGAGGAGGTGCCAAGTCTCCGGCAGGCCTCAAGAGCAAGTATGCCATTGGTTGCTGGGTTGTGCCCGCGTGCGGACTGTCTTTGGGCGCGTTCGCAGCGTCGTGGAGGATGAGCGTCGGCGCTGCGCGGGGGGTGGAATGACTGCGTTATGCTGTTGTTAGCTACTTACGGTAAGACGATGTTAGCTGATTGAAACGCTGAATAGTTCAGTGCTCCATTCGTCATGAAGTAGGAAGGGAAAAGGGTGGGGGGGGGGGGGTCAAAAGTCACAAGCACATGTAATATAGTGAGCTTTTGCACGTTTTCAACTCGTAGCTTACCCGTGTCGTCGTTCGCGTTGACTTCCGCTGCTGTGCCCGAGTCCATGTTGTGCCCTTCGTGTTCCTCGTCGTCGAGTTGCGCTTCGTTTTGCCGCGCGGTTTGCCGTTTTGTCTGCTCTCTTTCCTGTTTGCCTTTCCTTCCGTTGTCCTTCGTTCCCTGTTGTTTGGCTGTAGCCCTGCTTCGCCCTCCGCCGCCACTGGTCTTTCTGCCCCCCCATTCCCGTAATCTCCCGTTCTCCTAATCGCGGTCTTCCCCCTTCCTTTTGTCTTTCCACTCTTTCCCTCCCCTTACAGCTCCCCCTTTCTCGTTCAACCTTTTTATTCTTCCCTCGTCTCCCCGCGTGTTCCGATCGCTCGTTTCCTCCCCAATTCTCTTTATCCCTGTGTTTTCCATCCCGTTCCTTCCTCTTGGCTCGTATTTGTCCTTGGATGCTCTTTCTCTTCGTTGTCTCTTATTGCCATCCCTCTCTCCCTCGTTTCCGTCTCCTCTTCGCCACCCCATCCGAACCCTGGCCTCCCTCCTTCCCTTGCACGCATTTGTCTTTGTCTTACCTTTTCGCCTTTTCTCTTGCGCTCCGCTTGACCAACCGTTCTCCTTTTTCGTCCGCTCTCGTACTCTACCATTTTTCCGACAATCGTTTGTTCCATTCAGCTCCTTAGCCCCCCCCCCCCCCGCCCCCCCGCCCCTTTTCTCTGTTTCTCCTATCACCTTCTTTTCTCCTTGTCGCATTTCCCTTCCGCTTCCTCCTCTTGCCCTACTTCCTCGCCCCTCATGTTTCCTCTGCTCCTTTTTTCCTCTTATTTCCACTTCGCCCCTTTTTTTCCTCGCGAGAAATACGTTCGCCTCTCTCTTTTGTTCACTCTTTGATGTGACGCCATGTCAATTTTGTCGGAGCTTGCAGGTGTTTGTCTGACCCCACAGCCGCTCTTGCTTCCCTCGTTATCCCCTTCTTGGCTCATCTTTCACCCTCCATCGCTTGCTCGTTGTCCCTTTCTCCTGCTTACGTGGGAGAATAGGGTTCCCGTCTTCTTTTCTGGAGTGTCCGTTGCGCCTCTGCGTCTCCTCTTTGGAAACGTTCTGGCGTCCCCCTCCTTGCTGTCATGTCTTTGTATTGTTTGTGCTTCGGCGGCACGTCTGCCTTCGATTTCATAAGGTGGGGGTACTAGGTAGAAGCGATGAGAGCCATGATTTACGACCGTGGAATTGGAAGAGAAGACAGATTCTCGGATGCGGCAAGTAAGCGAGTGGTTGGTTGAGATGGTGACATAGTCATTCCTAATCCGGATTACATATCTGCGAAGCTGTTGGAGTTGTATACGGACTTGCAGCAACTTTTTGGTGGTGCGAATGGGCAGGAGAGAGTGCTGTCGGGGAGAAAGCGGAGTACGCTAGGGTTGTGGGTGAGGTGGGAACTGTTTTTTTTCAGCAAAATTTGATAGCTTTGTTTCCTGGACAAGTTGTGTACTAGTTTTTCTAGGTGCCCACGCACACACAGAGAGAGAGAGAGAGAGAGAGAGAGGGAGAGGGAGTTTTGCTATGTGCACTTGTTTTCTGTGAAAATGAAAAAAGGCTGATGGGAGGCGCGAGGAAGCTGTGAATGTCAAGTCATCAAAGTCTCTGTGTGATTGTTTATTTGCCTATGATCATCTGAATTATAAGCCACAGGGCATCTCAACGTCGTGGTGTACAGGGGTTGAGGAGCTCGGCACCCTGCCCACTCTCCGTTGTCTTTCTTCGATCTCGCAGTCGTTTTTCCTCTGTGCTCGTGTTTCGTTCTGTGCGCTTGCCCTTTCCTCGTTTTTTTCTCCCTGTTCTTCGCTCTCTTCCCTTTCATATTCTTCTTTTTTCTCTTACCCTATACATGCTCTCTTATTTCCAGTTTCTCTATTGATAGTTTCTCCATTCCCACCGTTTTTGCCTTTCGTCAGCTGTCTCCTTTCGCGCCCGTCTTTCCCGATGCCACATGTGTCCCTCTTCGGACGTCTGTGGACTTGGCTTCTTTCCTCCTCTCTCCTGCCCGTTTCCTCCTACGTCGGGAAACGATGGTCGGTTTGGCAACGACCTCCTCTCTCGTCCGGGAGAAGCACGTTATAGGCCATAGCAAAAGTGAACCGCCAGCTCCGCTTTACCGTTTCACTGTCGATGTAGGTCAGTGGAACGGCTGTTGTATTCTTTCTAACATTTTTATTTGTCATATTTGTCATACCCTGTTATCCTATTCGTCCTATTCGTGGTTACTACGCGGTGCCCGCCGTGCTTGAGAACTGTTTTCTTCCTAAATAGCCGTAGAGATGCATCACTGGGCTCTGGCGTCTTCCCTTTGTAAAGCCATGCCTTTTGCACTGATCTGAAGTGCTGCTCGAGATTCTTGACCAGGCTTTTTGCCTACACCGATTCCATGTTCGTCGAGGCCGTACAGGGTGCAGTGCATGGGGGTTCAGGAGTCCCCCTTACGTAGTAAAGAACGAGTTATAGACGGGATGTGACGAAGGATGTATCGCGTGCCTCACTTGGAAAGCTGACAAGATGCTTGTACCCTCGCAAGCGTAAAACCGACCCTTCTGAGCCGCGGACTATACCCTTATGGGGTCCATAGTTCATTTCACATTTCTTGAGTGATTGCGAAGCGAAGAGCAACTAACCCAAGTAGCCCTTCCTGTAGCCACAGACGTAATGCCTATTTATTGACTGACTTGCTCCTCTTACCGACCTTGTTTCCGTCGTGGAGGACGAACGCAGCTGCAGCGGGATCACCTCCATTAAGCCCTGGTTCGGTTACCTCCTCCATGGCGCATTTAGCACCGCAGAGGATTTAATTTACTGGAAATTGTTCCATAGATTGCTTTGAAGTCGTACCCAATGGTGGCTCAACGATGCATAGCTAGACTGCTTTATCCAATAAGTCAACAGTTCAAACCCTGATGGATAGGTAGACTTAAGAGGCTACTCGTTCACGATTCGATGAAAATGGATGATTGATTCGCGTTTCATACCTGCTAGCGGTTGCTGTTAAACGGGAAGTGATTGCACCCCACCTTGGCCGCTTGCTCGCATGCTCAATCTTCGGCCAGGGGTCTTCCCTCCCTGAAAATAACGTTCTCTTCTCCTGTGGTGTGTTATGGTAAAGATGATAGCAGGGGGGTGTGAAGACGGCGAACGGGAACGTTCTCTTCTCCTGTGGTGTTGTGTTATTCTGACTGTCAAATTCAAACTGAACATGCACGAAGTATTGTAGCTCTCGCCTCATTGATCCGCATATAGGTCTCTTTTCCTGATACAGAGCGTGATTTATATTTATATTTACTTTATAAGGTTTTATCTGCGCCACGTCCTGTCGCCGCGGGTGCTGGATCGCAAGGCCATGTTGATGGGGATGCCCTGGGCTCAGCTCATCCAAATACTATACTACCCTTTTTTAAAAATCTAACTTCTGAACCTACAGAGGTGTCTGCCTCTGTTATTCACCAACTGCCATCTCCTGTCTGTTATTCTGGACACTGCTGTCTTTGACAAATACATGGGAACTTGCTTCTACGGTATCCACCACAAGTCCCGGGCACTCCAGCCTGTTTCCTGTTGTAGCCCGTTGGTAGAGTTAATTTGACGACTCCGGTAATTTGATAGCTCCGGTAATTTCTTAGCTCCGGTAATTTGATAGCTCCGGTAATTTCGTAGCTCCGGTAATTTGATAGCTCCGGTAATTTCGTAGCTCCGGTAATTTGATAGCTCCGGTAATTTGATAGCCCCGGTAATTTCGTAGCTCCGGTAATTTGATAGCTCCGGTAATTTCGTAGCTCCGGTAATTTCGTAGTTCCGGTAATTGTCTGACCTTTTTCGGG